CAGGAAGTTTCCGATATTTGATTCTTGGCATCTCGAGAAATGCAGTCAGAAAACCATCATGTCCCTATATGGTTCATACAAGGATTTAGTGACTCGTGGTGAACTCACTACTCCAAACTCTCTTCCAACGTCTAAAGAATGGTTGTATTGTACATCGTCACAACATGTACCACTTCACAGCTGCGAATTTTGACCGATCAAGACCAAAGGGGTAGAAAATTTACAATTTTTCGTTCATATTTTCCTTCACTCAGTTCTGCGTTTTAACTAGGGAAACAGTCAGTTTTATGGGGAATACGATTATACAGGTTCGTCTACGGACTTGAGAACATCTACCAGTTTGATCCAACAATTCGGTGACATTTGGCGGATGCAGAACATCCCAGTGATGCTAACATACCATATTTCGTAGCCATTATCACTCACAGTTCACCTATGTCTTCTACGTACAGTTGAAGCTATAAGATAGCCTAAAACATAACCTTGTATTCACACGGCAGGAACAGTTCCTGCCGTGGTCAACCCTGGATCAACATTTCTCCCCATCAAGGTAGCCTTCTCGTCTTATCTTTTCGTCCTTTGCTCTCTTTGTTGTTTTCTTTTATCTTCGTTCTTACAGTTTCAACCATAATGTTTATAATTTATATCCTTTATTCTAGCATCCTTTAAGTAATATTGAATCTTACATTTATACTAATCTAGCCTATCATTCTTGATAACTTCTCTTTTCTCAATATATGCCTTCGCCTGTTTCATTACGCATATTGGTCATTTCATGATGAACTTCTCATTGCAGTCTTACTATCTCCTCTTTAATGCGTATTATCTTGTATTAGCCATTTACCTGACACTTTTTACAACCTTGAAATGGGTTTTTAATTTTCCTTCTCCATATTGTATGACTCTATTATGACCAACCACCATTATTCTTTCGCAAATCACCATATTTTATAGTTGCATTTAGCCCAGCGCGTCGGTCATGCCAAAGCTGTGTATTTTGTCACCGTATATTAGTTATACGGTGACAAAATACACAGCTTTGGCATGACCGACGCGCTGGGCTAAATGCAACTATAAAATATGGTGATTTGCGAAAGAATAATGGTGGTTGGTCATAATAGAGTCATACAATATGGAGAAGGAAAATTAAAAACCCATTTCAAGGTTGTAAAAAGTGTCAGGTAAATGGCTAATACAAGATAATACGCATTAAAGAGGAGATAGTAAGACTGCAATGAGAAGTTCATCATGAAATGACCAATATGCGTAATGAAACAGGCGAAGGCATATATTGAGAAAAGAGAAGTTATCAAGAATGATAGGCTAGATTAGTATAAATGTAAGATTCAATATTACTAATATGTTATTCTACGTTAAAATGAATCAACCACGTAAGTGGCTATTATCGTAACGACAAATATATTTTATAATTATAAGAACTTGAAGATAATTTAGTGAAAGGAGTTTTCCTCGTCCAGACTGAATTTCAATTCATCACATGGGAATTTTTCATACTCTTAAAATACAGTAACTGCGAAATACAGCCCCAGACTATAACATCCTTGATTTTTGACCACTCTAGTAGATTTAGGTTGCCAGCTTCCCTCAGATACGGGGAATCACTTGTCAGGATCTCTTGATGATAATCAGTCGAAATTATCCAAAATATAGCAGGCGTCTTCACTGTCACGTCCACTGTTTTGACAATCTATACTAACTATCCTAACTGTTACACCTCCTCTCGACCACTATTAGACTAAAACACTATTGCATGGTTATTTCCCCTATGCCTTTCGAAGTGTGGCAACTTTAGCGACCTTCTGTAAAAAGTTTTATGTTGATTGGTCAGTCATTTGCTGACTTTCCTGATAATACTCGAAAATCATTTCGTTTTGCTACTTGTGCTACTCGCAAGTATAAAAGGCGTTCAAATAAATGGTTAGTGCATGTATTGGTGACGGCTGCATAAAAACCTAGGTTATTTAGGTAATTTCTAGTACATATCATCCATTAACCATGACGAATCACTGAGTGGTCGATGTTTCATCTGTCTTTTAAGATGGATGTGAATTCTTATATAAACATCCTACTACTTTGCACTCCGTTTTTAGTTATTTTGCCAGTACAGTAGAGTTCATTAATATGCTGTCACACTTAATAAGGAGTGAAATGTATGTTGACCTACTGCGCTGTTGCATTATACTCAGGTTTTTTGACAGCTGGTGTCAGTACTAAATTAAACTAGTGTGAAGAATTTGAAGTATGTGGCAGTAATTCAGAATCGGATCTTTAATAACTCTTCTTATCAACCCAATTAATCGCTTTCTACAACATGCTTGGAGGCAATTATAATGACGTATGCCTCCAATTTACGTTGATATGGTTTACACAAATGCTTCCTCATAATAAGGCGTATTTATTCCAAATTTGTTTGGAGAACTTAATTGTTGTTATTAGATGGGTGAAGGCAATCCTGAGTGTACGGTGACGGCGAGCCACTTAGTATGGTGACCACATTGCAAACTTGACTGATGGAATTCAGTCTGCAGGAAGCAAAGGACTAGACATATGACACTAGTTAGCATCCAATCAAAAGCGTACTTTATGTTTAGGAAGCTGAGACTAGCGCGAAGATTTCAATATCTTTCCAAAGCTGTAATTTAATAGCTTCAATAGCTCCTTCAAATTGAGACTTTTCAGAGGTTTTCTAGTACAGAAAATTCTTACCTGTTAGCTTTGCTTAAAGACAAACACGCCAAGTACCTGAGTATTTTATGGGATTTGTTTCACAGACAAATACATTTTGTTGTCGTAGCTTTTAGCTTTAATATATGGCCTCCTAAGCTATCATATCTCACCTGTAAACGTCAAACAGAATAAAAAAACAGAAAGCAAAGTAAGGAAATCCATGCAGTCAAAGTGAATGAGACTGTGTAAGATGAGAAGTGTTAAAAAAGTAAACACATACATGCTTTCGTTTAATTACGAAAGATGATGAGTTGTACTGTGCAGCAATTTTAAGCATAATTTTTGGATGTCATTAGTTTTATTGCTGAATATCAGACTGCTTAACATTTACCGTTGGTGCTAACTTCACTGGCATTAAAATCTCTAAGCCATAAATAAATGACACTCAGTAAATTCCTTATTTTAAGCTCTTGAGTTTACAGGCACTGTTATACAGTTGGTCCCCAGTAAGATCAGCAAGCGTTTTATCTTACGTGTGGGATTGCTCTTGTCAGTAAAGTCTCAGTTCACAATAAGAGGATTCCAATCATAGCAGCCCATTTTTGAGATCAAGGAAAAAAGAATATGAGCATCTATTTATTTACTGTTCAATACAACGGATAGAAGTTGTTTAACTACTTAACTATTAAACAAGTGGAGCGTAATAGAATATTTCTCCCTGACAATAGATTGTTCACAAAACCAATTGATGAAGGACACTTTAGTGGTCCAATATTCAATGTTTTACTTTTATTGTCGAGCAAAGATACACAATTCAGGTAATGGACTTGTGAAAAATAATCTTATCTTCCAGGAAGAATAAAATTCCCCAATGTCCATTCAACCATTAAGTATTACAAATATATTCCTAATTCTGAAAACCCTCTTCAGTTAACACTGGCTGCTTGTTTCAACATAGAACTCCCCTCGGAAGTGCAGAAGTTCGAGTTATCATACACTATATAGCACATTTGGCACCAGTCAATGAAATCTACAAAAGTTAGTCTAAGCCACGTAGGAAGGTGTGGACTTCCAGGTTGGGGTCCTCGGGACGGTAAAAACCAATGGTTGGAAACAATTGGTGACATGGCTCAAAATCGTTCTCAATGGCTGGTGCAGATGCATCCACACCTTGTGACTTATGATTTACAATGAAACTGTTTTGTTCTTCGTTATTACTCTTCCTTTGTCTCACACCCCTGCTTACTGTCTCTATTATGCTTTTCTTCTACTTTCTTCTCTTGCTCTGTGTGGCGACTTGAACTTCCGCACATCGGTGCAAAGTTCTATGTCGAAAATAGACAAAGAGACAGACATATAGCATACAAAACTAGAGAAAAGAGTGATAAAAAACTATAATGAGCAGAAATGTGCGAATGAAAGAATAGAAACATATAAAAAATAGGGGAATGTGGTTAATGGTAGTCAGTGACTACAAAGAGTGAATGCAAATGCACTAATGTGAAGGATTTTGAGCCATTTCACCAATAGTTTCCAGTCATCAGCTCTTAGTATACCGAGGAGCCCAACTAAGGAGCAGTAGAGAGGTAACATCTCATCTTAACAATAAAGCACATTTGGTTACAACAAACTAAAAAGTATACATGTATTATCAAGGCAGATGTTGGTAATGCCCCTCCCAGCACCTGAAAATACGGCACAATTCCTCTGAACTATCTGCAAATTTACAAACTTGTACACTCTCACGATAGCATCATCATCGATACACTTTTAAGACAAATAAGATCCAATGTTCCACTTTAATTTATCTTAGCAGTGACACACTATTATTTATACTTTGCGCTGAACAATAATAAATACTATGTGAAAATGAAACTGCACAATACCTCGATTTTACTCTTGAGTTACAGATACGAAGTTAATTTATGCAGAAAATATCATCAAATTTCCAGTTATTAGCGCAAAATGCAACTTTTAATTTTTTAATATCTTCATATTAGGAGGGTCTGGCAAACGGAAGGAGGTCTAGATTCATCTTTTAAATATAGGTCACTGTTAAAGTAGCCCTGAAATATTATTAGCAAAAGCAACAAAGACAGATTTGTAAAGTCATCGGTGATTCAGTCTTCATCCGTTCAGATTACCTAGAAATAAATGAGAAGATTAAAAACCACTGTTATCAACGGTCACGTAACTTCCCATGCATTGCGGGTGTATCCCTCGCTTGTAAATAAGCCATACATATGGAACAATAATTCATTTCATGAAAAATATCCCAGGCTATGATTACTTAGAATATATACCAGGTATTTTTCCAAAACTGTACCTAAGGCAACCAGTAAAAAACAATAAGCACACAAGATATCAGTGTTTCCAATATATTTACAAATTTTAAAGTAAAATAGCCAAAGTATGAAAAATGTCATGATTTTATAAACAAGGAGTTCATTCCTTAAGCAAAACTGACGGGTCCTAAAACACATGTTTTACAGATTCATAGTAAGCAACATCAAATTGAAAACATATCAGCAGGACAAAACAAAAATACAAATTATGCTAGTGTGAAATCCAGTTGATTTTCTTCTGTAATTCTTCGATTTTCCTGTCTTTTAGTGTCAGAAGACTCTCCAGCTTCCTAATTTTGGCATGTAGTATCTCAATGGTCTCATTTAAAGTGATACATTGTTGCATCTTATCTTCGAAATACATGCGAGGGACATATTCCGATCTTTTCGGTAAAATGCCACTTAGTTTCTGATCACCTATGTTTACGATTCCATTAGGACTACGTGCATGACAGATAGTTGCTCCAGCGTTGCATATGGCTGGAAAATCCAAGGAAGGAGACCGGAATCCACGAGGAAATTGTGAATTCACTTGTCTTTTAGGACGAGACCTACCTTCTGGAGAATTCGAACTGTCACGATTACCACGAGCATGCGGATACCTATCTGCCTCAGGTCTATAATCATAAACCTTCCCCTTGTCGTCCGAAACCATTCGCTCAATTCTCGTTCTCAATAGCAGCAAAACTTTCTCTATAGTTCCGGGTTTGGCTATAGCCAAACTTTCAATAACATCATCAGATAATTCGAAATTCAACTTTTTAAAGACTTTCCAGTTCAGTAGTTGCCAGTTTTTCCTTTTCGATTCGACAGAGTTACACGTAGGAAAATTATGAACATCTACAATTTTCGGGAAAAAGTACTTCATAACTTCAGCCATAAGAACACCATCTGAAAAGTCCCTTGCTATATTTCTTTTGATACGAGACAAAGGGATTTTATCAACCCAGGTGTATAAATCTTGCAATACACAGTCATCCATAATATTTCATTCACATTATCATCTCTGGAAACTAAAAAACCTACTTATGTATCACTAAGCGAAATAAATTTCAGTGACGCACTTAAACAACCAATATCCAATATGGTTTTTACGAGCTAGTATAAACCAATTTGATTTCTTTGTGCTCGCTTCTTGATTGTGAGGTATAGGTTCTTGATCTTCGGTAAACTTCTGCGTAGCTTGTCCCGCCACTCGACTGTCGTAGCTTTGGTTGACTCCAAAGGGAGTAGTGCTGGGATTAATTATATGTGGTTTGTAGTATGAGGTATGTTAAGACTGTTACTACTGTGATTGGAGTTGATCCTTTCGCCAGTTAGTCCTTCGGTATTGTCGACAAGAGAAAAGAGATAGTAATAATAATAATAGATATAATTAGTGAAGTTATTCAGACTAAGAGACAGAAACGAAAATAGGAAACGTAACAACAGTCAGCTCATTAAGTTTGAAGAATTATATATATATATCGGTAGTAATAATAATAATAGTAATTATAATAATAATTTGTCAGGAGAGTAAGACGGGAGAGAATGTAAAGAAGTAAAACGACGAGTGTATGCGATTTTAAGGAGATAGGCCATTTGGATGCAGTCCTTGTATCGCTGCATGGTTGTCCAGCCTTCGCTTAAAGGCGTCCAAAGACGGTGCCATAGCTACATCTGCCGGTAAGGAATTCCAGGGACGACAAACCCGCAGTGAAAAGAAGTGGTGAGCTATCCTTCTGGGATTTCCACGTGGAAGCCTATACCTACTCAATGGCAGAACACCTTTGTTTGGGTGATTCTGGTCATTTGTTATTTTGTAGGCAGTAATCAAATCCCCCCTAAGCCGACGGTAACTAAGTGTGAACAGGCCTAATTTCTTCAGCCTTTCATCATATGGTTTGTTTCGGAGACCAACCACTCCTTTTGTTGCCCGTCGTTGGACTCTTTCCAAGAGGTTGGCATCTCTTCTCAGCATTGGGGGTGCAATAATATTATGCACCTCAAGGTGTGGCCTGACGTATGTTTTGTACAACATTAGAAAGAGCTCAGGAGTGAGTGCACCTAACTGTCTATGCGTAAAGTGTATGACCGCATATGCCCTCGCTACATCCCCTGTGTAATTTACGCTTGTGTCCATTTTTTCCGTTAGAACTAGACCTAAGTCGCGTTCCGACGTTGTGCAGGACAAGCTTTCATTGCACAGGGTGTAACTTGCATTCTGCAGTCTACAGGTGCGCAACTTCACTACTTTGCACTTTTTCAAGTTGAAAGTCATGCCACTGGCCACCGCCCAGTCTTCCAGAAGGTTTAGGTCTTCCTGTAGCCTATCTGAGTCCTCCGGACACTTTATCGCCCTCCATATTTTTACGTCGTCAGCGTACAGGAGAGTCGGGCAGCTCAGACGGCGTGGTAGATCATTGATGAAAATCAAAAACATCAGTGGTCCTAGGATAGAACCCTGCGACACTCCTGATGACGATCTGTGCCAAGATGATCGGACTCGGTTAACCTTAGTGCAAAATTGCCTGTCGGCTAGGTAGTCCTTCAACCATGACAGAAGTGGCTCACCTATGCCTGCCTGGCTTATTTTATGTAGGAGAAGGTCATGGTGAACAGTGTCAAATGCCTTCTCAAAGTCTAGGAAGACCACATGGACTGGTACGTTCAAGTCCCAGCATGATGTCCAGTCGTCCCAAGCTGACAGTAGGTTAGTGACGCAGGATCTGCCTTTTCTGAAACCATGTTGGGCTTCATGTAGTATATTAGTCCTATCGAAATATTCCCTGATGTGGTCGTCAATAATACTTTCCAGTACTTTTGATACCACTGGGAGTAGAGCTACTGGTCTATAGCTAGCAGCGTTTTGCCTGTCCCCACCCTTGAAGATTGGAGAAAGGATGGCTCTTTTCCACTCCCTTGGCAGGGTCCCCGAATCCATTGAGTGTTGGAACAAGTCGCACAGGGGTCTACAGAGAGCCTCGGCGCACTGTTTCAGAACAGATGGCCTGATGTCATCACAACCTGGGGACTTCCCAGGTATGAGTCGCTGTAGCTTCCTTAGTACTATTGCGGGGTTTATTTGGGGAGTAGTCGCTAGGTCTTCCTCCTCTGAAATAGTGGTGCCACCATTTTGGTCCGTAACTGTAATATCCACATTGCTGTTTAGCTGTTTAGCGAAGGCTGAACTGAATGTTTCAGCCATCTCCAGACTAGTGAGATATTGACCGTTTGGGCCTACTAAGGCGCATGCCCCTTGGTTTGTCGGTTTTCTTTCCGACATGAATCGGTACAAGTTTTTAGGGTTTGATAGGAGTTTTTTAGCAAGGTTAGCCTGGAATGACCTTCTGTCCCTCCTGACTCTTGCATTACACCGGTTCCTGAGTTCGAGGTATGCATCATGGTCGGTCTGACTCTTAGATACACGCCACGTAAACCAAGCCTTCCGCTTTGCTTGCAGAATACGTTGCGTGCCTCTCTTCAACCATGACGTCTTTCTCTTAGGCTGTGTTGTGACTAAAGGGACGGTATCCGAGATTGCTATATAATCTTTTTTACCACTTCCCAGTGTTCATCCACAGATAGGTCGTCCCATGCTAAGGGCCAGTCTGCGTCGGACAAGAGCCTCCGCATTTCAGCATAGTCAGCCTTGCTGTAGCACAGACATGGTCGCGTAACATCCCATTGCAAACGCTCACGGAGGACAAGATCGAAACCTATGACTGCATGGTCACTGCTTCCCAGAGGAGTCATGATCTGGACCTTTTCGACGAGTAGCTGGTCACTAGTTAGAATATAATCTAGTTTTGATGACTTTCCACTAGGGCCCCACCTAGTGTCGTCTCCAACATTCTCAGTCAGTCCCGTGTTTCGAATAGTTTGCAGTAGGTTTCGGCCAAATTTTCCCTTAGCACACCCGGAGCCGAGGTTCAGTGATGGAGCATTGAAATCTCCAGCTATGGTGATTTGGTCGTAGCCCAAATCTCGTATTCCTGTGATAGTGCTGAGCAGTAGCTGATTGTGCTCTGCCCCACAGGTGGGAGATCGGTAGATGCCACCCAGTAAGTGCTTGGTGTGGCCTACGGTGAAATGACACCATATGGAGTCTGGGAGTTCGATAAGTGGTGGGTCCGTTGCGCGCACACATTTAAGTTGCCTATCAAAGTATATAGCAACTCCCCCTCCTTCCTTATTATCCCTGTCTCTCCTGACCAGTACCATATCACCTATACTGATTTCATTGTCGGCGATAGTGGGGTTTAGCCACGTTTCAGTAGAATGATTATTTTCAGTTGAAGGTGTGCTTGGAGATTTCGAGTTCACCTACTTTCCCTCTCAGCCCCCTCACATTGCTATATAGGCAACTGACAGTGAGTCTAACAACCTCAGAGTGTTGTGGGGTAGTTGACGTGAAACCGTCTGCTGGTGGGGGACTTGATGTTGGAACTAGTTGGCCGATTCCGATAGAACCGGCCCGTTGTAGTTTTTTTCAATGGATTTAGGCAGGACACTTGGGAGACACAGACTATTATTCTCAGAGCTGCATCGCTCTAGTGTCACCGAAGCTTGGGGTCGTATTAAAGCCTCAGTTTGCTGCCTCCTTATATTTCTGGGTCTGCTTTCACAGCATCGGATGTGTCCTCCAATTTTTCCCTTGGTCTCATACCACCGTTGAAGTGATATGGACAACTGCTCCGGGGAGTTGAATGTGACACACAGCAGCTTTGGAGAGTTAATCAATGTTAGATGAGCGGGACGAGGTAGTCGGAAAATGGAGATGGCTCCAGAAGCGCCAGGGGCCATCTGAGATGACAGCCATCTCCATTGTTGTACGTCGTGCATGTGTTTTTCACAAGCAGTGCCGGTTTCCAGCTCCGGAACACCGTGTACCACCATAGAGGTGGAAGGCATCAGTTCCGGTGACTCCCTCGCCATATTTCTGAGCCCATGGTCTATCTTGCCGCGCCCTTATGTTAGAACTTCTGTCCAGGGCTAGTACCTGAGCCATTAACAGTACTTTTTCGGCCTCTTCGGCAGAGTCCAGTGTAACCCGTAATGGGGGTGGCTTACCCTGAGGCGTGTGGACACCCCTGTACAGTCTGCACAGTTTTGCTGAACTAATGTTCAGACCTAGTTTGTTGCACAGGTTGGACCACTGTTCCTGATCAAACAGGGCCCGTTGTTCGAGCAAGCTATCCGTGCTCACAGGTACGTTAAAGAGGATGAGAGAGTTAGACCGACTACCCTCAGACTTAGGTTTTGCCTTCGGCTTCTTGCAGTCCTTTGCATCATTAGCAACATTAGGCTTCATCGGTACCTGGACAGCCTTTTTTGTGTTGCCAGGCTTGCTAGTGGATGCAAGTGGTGCCTTTGTAATTTTGCCTTCCCCTGATGTGGATGGAACCTTGCTAATCTTCACCTTGTGAGAATTGGCATTTCCAGTCAGTAGGGCTGGTGTGTCCTTCTTTAAGTCTTTGACCAGTTTCGGCAGTGCGAGTTTAGCAGGGGGAGCTGCATGATACTGTGTTGGGGCACAAGAGTGTGTTGTTTCTGCTATCCGCAGACACGCTTTGTGGGATGACAAAGTGGGCAAACGTACCAAAACCATGGGCATGGGTTATTTCTCATAAACTCATAGTATGCTTTCGGTACTTCTTTGTCACAACGGCAGTGCACCCATCGTTTGCAAAAATTACATTCAAACGCTGAATCAGTTTTAGAAACTGTGACCTGCACGCCTGACATTCATCTCCTTTCCTTGATGACGCCTTCGAGGTCTTATGACGTCTTGAACGTTTCCTTTTAGGCTTGATGTGTTTCACACACTGGCCTACAGTTGATGCAGGTGTAGAATTCTGTCCTTCTGGTATTGCCTGTGCCGTTTCAGTACTAGACTGTGGCAATGCAGGCGTTGTATCAGGGCAGACGAAAGCTACACGAGACTTTAGGATCGGTATGCGGGAAGGGGTTGAAATCCCTGGATTTTTTCCTTCCCTGGCTGAAGCCCTTGTGACTACAGAGTACGGTATTTTAGTGGCTTTTTTAAGGCTGCTTTCGACA